ATACTGATATACTCCTGAACATCAGCAGGAGAGGACTCTTTAAAGTAGAGACACTACATACTGATATACTCCTGAACATCAGCAGGAGAGGACTCTTTAAAGTAGAGACACTACATACTGATATACTGTACACCTAAACATGAGTAAAGTCACTTTCTAAATGTAATGTCAAAATAAGCCCCTAAAGTGTCTCTAAGAAGCTCTGCTTTGACCTCTGAACTCTTCACGGCTGTAAGAAGGGATTTCCCCACCGAAAGCTTTTAAGAGAGAGCTCCAAACTTTTCTGTAAATCCACTCCACTTTTTGGCAGCCATCGTTTGGTTAGCCTGGCTTCCTGCAGGGCGTAATGATAGGCTGCAAACCACACTGACACCCTGAGCAGACCGCGGTGTGTGTGTGTGTGTGTGTGTGTGTGTGTGTGTGTGTGTGTGTGTGTGTGTGTGTGTGTGTGTGTGTGTGTGTGTGTGCGACCTCAGGAGCGTGCACTAAATAACGAGTGCCTTAATCTGTCTGAATCAAGAGGGGACACACCTTGTCATACACTAGTGGGCACACACACACACACAATTCCTGGCGCCTCTGTCATCAGAGCTTGGCACCGGCTGCACTCAGAGGGCGCATTAACACACACCAGACACCTCAGACAGTGTGTGTGTGTGCGTGTGTGTGTGTGTGTGTGTGTGTGTGTTAAACTCCACGTGCTGCCCTTTTCCATGCCATGCTGCCACTTTGGAAAAATTAGGAAGTTTTACTCCGTGTGTGTGTGTGTGTGTGTGTGTGTGTGTGTGTGTGTGTGTGTGTGTGTGTGTGTGTGTGTGTGGCGTGTGTGTGTGTGTGTGTGTGTGTGTGTGTGTGTGTGTGTGTGTGTGTGTGTGTGTGTGTGTGTGTGTGTGTGTGTGTGTGTGTGTCTGGGAAGTATGAGAAAGGGGATCCCACAGCAGCTCAGTGCCATAAGAGCACTTTTGTTCTACATTAATGCCTACACACACACACACACACACACACAAAGGAAAAAGTGGTGCATGCGTCATGAGTGTGTTTTAAGCTTGAGTGTTCCTCGGAGGGTTGAAGGTTGCAGGGCGGGGACGTGTGTGTGTGTGTGAGAGACGTGTGTGTGTGTGAGAGACGTGTGTGTGTATGAGAGAGAGACGTGTGTTTGTGTGTGAGAGTGACATGTGTGTGTCTGGTAGTTTCATCCGTCCCCTCGGTATTCACCATCTTGGTAGTCGTTGTTTCCGTCAGAGCCAACACACACACACACACACACACGCACACACACACACACACACACACACACACACACACACACACACACACACACACACGCTCAGACAGACAGAGTTTTTTATTTCCGTGAGAGAATTCTCCAGTGTTTAAATAGACTTCTGGACGTTGCCAATGTGAACAGACTTTAAAGTAAACGTGAGGCAGCTTCATACTAAATAAAACAACTTTTTGATAAAAACACATCACAGGGTTTAACTCAAATGTCATACAACCCCCCAAAAATCATATCATATAAATCAAAATGCCTCTCATCCAAACCACACGTCAACAAAACACAGATATGTTATTCTCCCGAACAGAAACACATTGTGAGCTCAGGATGACTCATGTAATAGTAAGACTTTTACGGCTTTGCTTTAATGCCAGCCGTCACTTTGTAATACCGGGATTTATTCGGATTTATTTTGTATAAATGGTGTACGTTTCAATTTGGAGTGAAACCCTTTAATGTTTAAGGAAAATTGGTGTTATGAAATGTGTTGAAAAGCTCCTTAACATGACTTTCATTCTGTTATTGGAGTGTGTGGTTGCTTTTTGTCCCAGTGTGTGTCTGATGGATGTCATTTCTGTCTTTTACTGTTAATGCCAACACTAGATGTTACAATGGGTAAGTTTCTGCACTTTTGATCATTAAGAAAGTCCTAATTTACACTTTTCATGACTGCTGTGCCATGCATCAGTGCAAAGACTTTCCCTTTTTATCTGCAAGAATTACTGTATTAAGTTATTGAGCATTGTGTTTACAAAATGTGAGGTTATCTAATCATTAATTAGACAAGAACAGGCATAATGGTATTCAATAATCTAATAAAATAATGACGGGTTAATTCGATTATCTGATTAAATAATTAGACAGGAATTCGAGTTTTCTTTTTGTAGATTATCTGAAATAATAATGCTTTTTCCTGAGGTTTACTGTCCATATTCCCCGAGTAATCTGCATCCACTACAGCAGTTTCCAGTACAAACCTCTTTCTAATCTTTTTCAGTTCAATTCTGTTGTTTCCATTAGTTACAATAAAACTGAGAAAGACAAAGATGTAAAAGCACCAGAGGCATTGCTTTCATTCATAGTGCAAAAAAAGAAGTTGCATTTGTATCTCTCTAATTTGAATTTGAATAAGATGTTCTCTCTTCTGCAGCAGGAGTTCGGCTCAAGTGATGAGTCTGAAAGCGTGAGACGTGACACTATCCAAAAAGACTACATATGTGTTAGAAGCCTAGATTCAAGATTCAAAGCTTTATTGTCATGTTTAGGTAGTGTGCTGGACTTCGAATCAGGGGGTAGCAAGTTCGAGTCCCACTGCAGTCAGCATGTCGTTGTGTCCCTGAGACACTTCACCCCAAATTGCTCCTGTGGGGATTGCCCACAGTTCTGAATGTATGTAAGTCGCTTTGGATAAAAGCGTCTAACTAATGACATGTAATGTCATGTTTACAGTAGCTACAGTGTAGATATGGCAATGAAAAAACTGAAGTCACAGGATCGTCCAACAGAGCAACATGAATATATATAGGACATAAACAAAGTGAAAGACATAATAGAATATAAATAAAATAGTGCAAGAGAACGTGACACTATCGGTACTTCCACACGGCAGCGTGCGTTGAAGCTTGCCGGTGGGCGTGTCTGGCTCGCGACCAACAACCAATCACATTAATCTCCCGCCCCGGAGACACAAGCATGCGGTTTGATTGGCTAGCGCTTGTACTGGCATATGATTTGATTGGCTGACGCCTCCGTCGAAGCTTGAAAAGTTGAACTCTTCTCAACTTTCGAAGCGAGCAACGGAGGCAAAGCGACGCGACGGAACCACAATGCAGTTCGGCAAATCCTGACGTCACCCCATTCACAGTTGAAGCAACGCACGCTGCCGTGTGGACGGGCCGTATGAGACTTGTGTTATACTCCCAATCCTAAGAATGGCAACCATTAAAAGTCACATCCACCAGACAACTGGAAGCCAGTGCTTTCTGTCAGCGATGTTTACCACACACACATCATGCTCCCAGAGACACAGAAAACACGTAAGAATCATATAAACACTGTCGATAAATCTAAATAACTTCAGTCCAGGCCTGGGTTGTCTTGATCTTCTTTTGATGAGTTTGTTTCCATCCTTTCACGGTTAAATAAAATCGAGAAAGACACTTCTTCTGTGCCCGCAGAATACTTAGGTGTTATACAAAACTAACAGAGGCATTGCTTTCATACATAAACATACATTCGGCAATATGTTTTTTTTTGCCATACCATGTTTCCTGTGAGGTTTAGTCCACTTTGTGCCCGTTTCCATTGCCTCAAAAAAGTTGAAAATATACATGTTGAGATACAAATTTACAGCAAACAAAATATTAAGCAGGATATTATACATTAAGAGTGTAAGGAATGGAAATTGAATATAAATGTAAAATGTGCAGTGTGAGTTTAAGTCCAGTTTCCATCCTTTCACAGCTAATTAAAATGAAAAAAGACAATTCTTCTGTGCCCGTAGAATACTTATATATTATACAAAAGTAACCGAGATGTAAGAGCAGCAGAGGCATTGCTTTCATACATGAACATACATTTATTTTTGCCATGTATTCCACTTTGTGCCCGTTTCCATTGCCTCAGAGCGTCGTTACACTCTGACCCTAATGCCGCGGCGCCACCAGAGGCACTTCTTTTTTCTCGTGTTGACGTGACTTGGCGAACAAAACGCTGCCATGCCATCATTGTGGAAAAATCCTGAGAGGCGGCTAATTTGTGAGCGGCGTCTACAAAGAGTCACTGCAGGGCTTTACAAAGGTCAAAGGTTATTACAGGAGTTCTGAGTTAATGATGTAGGGTCCATTTTCTTATATTGGTGACGCAAAAAGAGGACATTTGACTTAAGAAGATGTAGAGCCTTATTACCTTAACATTTACATTTTATTATATGGATACATGATAATGGTAATAATAATAATAATCATAATAACAATAGTTTAATTAAAAATACAATGATAATTCAAACTGTCTTGTTATCTGAACATGGACATGTAGGAAGTTTCTAGAAATGGGTGTACGTATATATAGAATTGTGTTTATTTGTGTAGATATGCTTTCTTCCCTCCTTCTCCTAATTTTGTTTATTTTCATCAGATGTATAAATTGTCTAATATTGAAAAAGTAGAAAAAATAATACAAAAAAAAACTTCTCACTTAAGTACATTTCGAAGACTCTTTACTTTTACTTGAGTTAAGAAGTTTACTCAGTACTTCTACTTTTACCAGAGTACTTTTAAACACGAGTATCTGTACTTCTACTTGAGTAAAGGATTTGTGTACTTTGCCCTCTATTCTACTAATTTTGTTTATTTTCATCAGATGTATAAATTGTCTAATATTGAAATAGTAGAATACATAATAAAAAATAAAGAATCCAATGCAGAAACGTCCAAAAAGCACAGTTTGGATCCATGAATGTTTGACAATGGCCTCAATTTAGGTATTCAAAGTGATTGGTCTATTCTATTTTTTTATTCTTTATTTATTTGGGGTCACATTATATTAAAAGTACAGTTTTGCAAATCGAGACCCGAAAAAGACAAATTACACACCGAAGAAAATTAGAAAAAGTACGAAAAAGTACATTTGAAATGGCAAATATCTACACATGTATTATACATATGTGATTGGTTTATTCTACACACTATCTGACCCCTGACATTTGACCTCTGACCTACAGGCGGAGGAGTTCATGGACTGGTGGAGTAAATTCTACGCTTCGACCGGAGAGAAGAACAAGTACGGGACGTATCTGGAGAAAGGCTTCGACACACTGAAGGTGAGAGAGGAAAACTGAGAGGAGGGGAATAACAAAAACATGTTCTTCGTATGTATTAAAACCGAAGAGCTTTGTGCCTGAATGCATATATTTTTGGGGCTTTTCACGCAAGTCAATAGATCATTAAATAGCCAACTTTTCAATACCAGTATTAAAATCCATGTCTAGGTGTTAACAATGCAGAAACGTCCAAAAAGGGTTTGGATCCATGAATGTTTAAGGATGGCCTCAATTTAGATATCCAAAGCGATTGGTTTATTTCACACACTATCTGACCTCTGTTTATGGTGTTTATTCCTATAACATTGATTCGATTTTTCACTTTTCTATGTTTGCGAAACCAGTTTTTGTTCGAAAATAAGTATTTCTGTCTTTTTTCTTCGACAAAACATGCTGTGATTTAATCAAATTTGCAAGAAACTTACTAAATGAATCAGGGGTTAAACAATTGCTCTAAGAGTATAATAGTTTTGGTACGTCTGGATATGTTCTCTTCACTTCTGTGTGCGTGTGTGTGTGTGTGTGTGTGTGTGTGTGTCATTAATTTTAGGGTGAAAACTTGGTTAGGTTTAGGGTTAGGGTTAGGGTTAGGCATGTGTTGGTTATGGTTAAGTTTAGGATAAGTCTCCAGGAAATGCATGTAAGTCAATGTAATGTCCCCTGAAGTGATGTATACATGGTATGTGTGTGTGTGTGTGTGTGTGTGTGTGTGTGTGTGTGTGTGTGTGTGTGTGTGTGTGTGTGTGTGTGTGTGTGTGTGTGGGTGTGTGTGTGTGTGTAGATGCTAATTAATATGTGTATGTGTGTGTTGATGAGTAATTGCCAAACATCGACAGCAGATAAAGACAACATGAAGGGAAATACAGAAGTATGGAGAGCATCAGACCGAAAACATGAAGAAGACGGAGACAGTGCCGCTCTTTGTTCCACTTCCTTTAAATGTCTCTCCCAAAACTTCACCATTTAAATCACATTTTTCCCGAGATGCCAGCCTCCTCCTCCTCCTCCTCTTCCTCTTCCTCCTCTTTTCTCAACCCAAGCGACGTGACATTCGGTCCGTTTTTCTTTTTCCGAACGTCTCAGATGACTCACCCGTGTTGAATTCTCGTCAGGACGGATTGAAGGGAAAAGGTCGCCCTCAGATGTTGGCGAGTCCGAAGCAAAAGGCATCACGTCAACGTCTTGCTTTAGTCTCGTTTCTTACATCGCCCCCACGCTCTCTTTCAACCTTTATCCCGATTCTCTCGGTCCAAACGCCGACCTTTCCTTCCAGCGGGACTCCGAGCGGACGTCAGTCTGATGCCCAAACTCGTGACTAATGGGGTCAGAATCTGGACTTCTTTTATTGCTTTTAAATGAGACATCTAACCTCTCCTTTGGGACCTTTCACATCAGAGCAGCAGCTTCAATAGTACAACAACCAGGGATGGGAGGCTTACTTTAAACATGTATACTCCTATTATTATAATTATTTGTAATACTACTTACCTGTAAATATATTGAAACAGTAGAAACCAAGATATTTAGGATCAGAAATGTGTCCTGTTCAACAATAAAACGTGAGCAAATACATATTATACAAAACAGAACGAATGAACCAAAGAAAGTGAAAACCATAGGCGTATAGATACAAACTTTAAAGTTCTCCTATCATGCAAAATGCACTTTTTGATGTCTTTTCTACATCAACATGTGTCCCCGGTGTGTCCGGGAACTCACGCAGCGTCAGAAAATAAAACCCTCTCTTTTTCCCTCCGTACCCAAATCTCTAAAAACGGGGGAACAACGGAGCTGATCCAGATTTGCGTCCGATGTGACGTCATATCAGAAATGTGGGTGGGCTTTATACCCACGGCCCTATCAGAAACAATAAGACGTGTTTTGGACGATTACAAATTGTATAATAGGAGACCTTTAAACTATACAAAAACCAGGGATGGGAGGGTTACTTTAAATATGTATTATGTTACAATGACTTGTTACCTGTAAACAATGTAATCAGTAATATGATGATGAACATATAAAAGTAACCTGATTACTTTCTAGTACTTTTGGATTACCTCAATATCAAATGCAATGCAAACGAATCCAAGAGAGTAGGAATATCAATAAGATGTGTTTCACTTCAGTGTTTAATGTAAGACAACAAAGCAATGTGACTTTAGACAATTACAAACCAAGATATTTAGGATCAGAAATGATTTAACTTATAAGAAAAGCTGCCTGTCATGAAGCATATTCAGCCTATACAGCAACACTGACACACATGAGCTCATACTACAGTTTAAATACCTAATACCTAATCTAATACCTAATATATATATCTAATACCTAATATATATATATCATTCCAATAACTTGTATATAGACTCATACTGCACTATTCCACATCATAACTTTATTTCATTTTTATAACTATTATTATTTTTGTATTGCTCTTGCTCTTACTGTTATTATGTTATTATGTTGCATTGTTGGAGAAGCCTGTGACATAAGATTTTCTACTGCATAATTACTCTGTAGCTATGTCAGATTGACAATAAAGAACCTTGAACCTTGAACCTTGAACCTTGAAATTCAAAATCTGAGCTGACAGAAAATGCTCCGTTTTAGTTTAACACACACAGTTAAGCTCACACACACTATTTTATGAACATATAGGTTCACCTACTGAATTAAAAACAGAACAAATGAACCAAAGAAGGCTTTATTATAGTTTTTTGGGTTATGTAAATATAAATATGTACCTGAAAATGAGTAAAATGTATCCTAATAACCCATTATATGTAATCTGTTACTCCGCAAGACTTTGTACAACAAGTCGTTCTACATAAGCTTCTAACTAGCAGAAATGAACCAGAAAAGCCACATTTATTCCTCTTTTTCTTCACGTAAAACCCCTCAAAGTACATCTTAAACTGAAAGGCACAATAAAGAACGATAACTGCTTTTCGTTGACCATTGAAAACCTGGTGGGAGTATTTCTCCTTCATTCAGGAAACATATTAAACGGTTTCACCTCTGCTGAAGGAAACACATCTGTCGCGACATTTCAAAACGTTGACAGGTTGGATGGAAATGTTGGTTAAATGCTCTTTACCTCACCTACTATTACCTATTTACTCCCTCCCTCCCTCTCCTGCCCTTTAGAGAGATCTTCTACTGTCACAATGAGCCTCTGTTTCCAACATGTCCTCCCTCTCACCCAGAGGGGGGAAGTAGTGGAGTACAAATACTTCGTTACTGTACTTAAGTACATTTTTCTGGTATCAGTACTTTACTCCACTACTTATTTTTCTGGCGACTTTTTACTTTGACTTCTTACATTTTGAACACAAATACCTGTACTTTCTACTTCTTACATTTTGAACACAAATACCTGTACTTTCTACTTCTTACATTTTGAACACAAATACCTGTACTTTCTACTTCTTACATTTTGAACACAAATACCTGTACCTTCTACTTCTTACATTTTGAACACAAATACCTGTACTTTCTACTTCTTACATTTTGAACACAAATACCTGTACTTTCTACTTCTTACATTTTGAACACAAATACCTGTACTTTCTACTTCTTACATTTTGAAAACAAATACCTGTACTTTCTACTTCTTACATTTTGAACACAAATACCTGTACCTTCTACTTCTTACATTTTGAACACAAATACCTGAACTTTCTACTTCTTACATTTTGAACACTAATACCTGTACTTTCTACTTCTTACATGTTGAACCCAAATACCTGTACTTTCTACTTCTTACATGTTGAACACAAATACCTGTACTTTCTACTTCTTACATGTTGAACCCTGTACTTTCTACTTCTTACATGTTGAACACAAATACCTGTACTTTCTACTTCTTACATGTTGAACCCTGTACTTTCTACTTCTTACATTTTGAACACTAATACCTGTACTTTCTACTTCTTACATGTTGAACACAAATACCTGTACTTTCTACTTCTTACATTTCCCAAACAGGCTGGTTCCTTTAGTTTGAATGTGTGTTTGGTGGCGTGATCATTATTATTTAGAGTCATTGCGTGCCTATTGATTTGAACACGATCCGTGTATCCATCATTTCCTGGTCTTCTCTAAAGAAGAGGGACCAATGAAAATGTTGTCATGTTGCCGTTGTTCAGCATGGAAACAGTCATTAGCTAACAATGACATTATTGTTCTATTGATATAAAGGGAGGTCAGGTACTCTTTAAAACAGCTGCTCGTTATGGGTACTTTCTACTTAAGTACATTTCGAAGTCTTTACTTTTACTTGAGTAAAGAAGTTTAGTCAGTACTTCTACTTTTACCAGAGTACTTTTAAACACGAGTATGTGTACTTCTACTTGAGTAAAGGATGTGTGTACTTGTCCTGTCTCACTCTTCCAGCCTGGATGTGACCTGAAGTAAACTCCCTCTCATTTAAACCCTCACCTTTCCTCCCCCCTTCGTCACCTTTCTGTCTCCCTCTCCTCCTCTTCCTCCTCTTGCATCATCAGCTCTGGCGCCATCGTGGAGGTCTGCTAGAAAGTGAGCTTAGAAATGTTTCACAACCAATTAGGAAAAAGGAGAGATCCCTGAAGAAAAACGGCAAATATTCAAAGGTTTAAAGGATTTATGGTCTAAAAATCTAACGGTACAGACTCCCTCAAGAGTGCAACAAACTATAAACCTAAGACATAAAAAGAAGTGCAATAAGAAATAGAAATAAAAAAGGTCAAGAGCTAGTGCTTTGGACACAGTGATGCAAACCTAATAAATTAACGCTTAACATGTATAAAAGAGTAAGAGACAATAAAAACGGAGTTTCTCTGGCATGTTTTGAGAGCTTTGTCTATTTTCTAGCTATCATAAGTGGATTTCTTAGAGTCGATATGCAACAGACATAGATTTAATGAATTAATGATGGTATTTTAAGTCACGCTTCATTAACAAACCGTGTATATCATGCCTGTGTGTTCAGTTCTTATTGCGTTATCAGTCAAAGAAGAAGTGCCTCCATGCAACTGCCTCCAAAAATGCTGTAAACCATAATTGATGAATTGTATTATTAATATAATGAGATACCGTGTTTCCTGACTTGAGGTCATGAATACGAGCTGCCAGAGGGATAAAAACACTATTTTATTTTCCTGTTTTGGTGTGCCAACCTGCTGACGTTCACCTCATCTCTTCTTCTGTCCTTTTCAATATCCTGTCTCTCTCTTCTCTCCTTGGCTCACTTCTTCCTCACCCTTTCACTCTCACCCCTTCCTCACCTCTCTTCTTCCTTTCCTCCCTGACAGTAGAATTGCTTTTTCTCCACAAAGGCGCTGCTGTTTCCCTCCTTGTTTTGGTTCCTCTCTCTTTTCTTGTATTGGGTTTGGTGCCGAATCACTGGGATTGTAGTCCAGACTTTTGCATCATCCTTTTTAGGCTTTTACAACTCTAACCCCTACACTTTCAACACATCTAAACACATCAGATATTAACCCTCCTCCTCTTCCTCAGGTGTAAAAGAAAAAAGCTTCCCTGGTATCGAATCTGTGCAAAAATCTGTCGTTGACCTTCATCAACGCAAGAGTTGGTGTAATGCTGACAGAAAGCTTGATAACTAAAAAAACTTTATCAAAATCCTTCCTAAAACCCGACATTAACCCATTTATTAAAGAGTACATTACACACAGGGGTTTTGGTGCATTTTGATGTATGAAGAGGTCATATATATGTTCAGTAAAGAGTCGCTTTAAGGCCCTGACACACCAAACTGACACCAAAGAACACGTCCCGACGGACCCAACTCTTGTGTCGCCTCACGTCTCCTGCGTCTTGGCCAAAAAGTCGCACTGGAACACACCGCAAAGACTTCAGCCGACGGCCAAGTAGCACGTACGAACTGCGCATGCGTGAGTGGCAATAACTCTACTTACCAGCAGGCGGCGGTAATGTGTATTCGTCATTCAAAAGAGGCAACCGGAAGACAGACTGCGTGATATATACAAACAACAAATAGCGTGTGCGTTCCATTTTCACTCTCGTCCATCACAGACTGTTTCACAAAATGAAAAAGAATAGCCGTCTGTGTGTGCCTTCTTAATCGTTTGTTTGCGTACCTCACTTCCGTTTCGCTTCTCATGCACTGATTCGCTAAGCTGAACAGCCAATCAGAGTGATTTCTTTGCCGACAGCCTCCGCTCCCGATTCAACATGTTCAATCGGGAGCGGAAGGTGTCGGCACGGCCGAAAAGACACAATGGTGAAGGACACACCAATCTGAGTAGGGCGACAGGACGCTCATCGACGACCAGACATCTATCGACGGCCGAAATCGGCCCGGTGTGTCAGGGCCTTTAGGCCCCGTCCACACGGAGACGATATCAGTTGAATCCTCTAACGTTCTCTATCATATAGACGGTTCGTCCACACGAGGCCGAAACGGAAACGCGGATTCGGAGCCCGAATCCGATACACTTTGATAACGGCTCCCAAGGTGGGTAGATCTGAGGACGAAACGCTTGCGGCTCCGTGTGTACGCCCTATACGATAACTTCCTGAAAACGACGACGCCATAGCCCCGCCTCTCCCCACCTCTCCTGCTCAGCCACCCGCGTCATTGCTGATGCGTTTCGCCAACAACAACAACAATGGCGGATCACAGGGTTGCGTCCGTTCTCCAGACGCTACTGACCATGATACAGATTTTAGTGCAACATTTACAGCTGCTCTTCCACAACCATCAGGAACAATAATGATATAATATAATATAATAATAATAATAATACTAATCGTCATCGGTCTTATTCGCTGCTTTTAGTGTATTTTGTGGCAGAAGCACAGCGCCATTTACAGGCCCGGCATATGTACTACAGCGTCTCCAGCGTTTTCGAGCGTTTTCGTGTGGACGGAAGACTTTTTTTGAAAACGACTAAGGTTTGTTTTCGTTTTCGTCTCCGTTTCGTCTCCGTGTGGACGGGGCCTTAGTTTGTTGCAGGATCACTGGGATTGTTGTCCAGATTTTCTTTCATTTGCATCATCCTTTTTAGGTTTTAACAACACATCTAAACATCAGATATTAACCCCTCTCGTCTTCCTCCTCCTCTTCCTCAGGTGTACGACAGGGAGTTGGAGAAGGTGGAGAGTTTTGGGGGTCTGTCAGATTTCTGTCAAACGTTTAAACTTCAGAGAGGAAAGACTCAGGACGAAGGAGAAGACCCTTCAGTGGTGGGAGAGTTCAAGGTGAGAAGTTAGCTTAAGATGTATTTTAGAGAAGGGACAACGCACATGTATTATAATGAACACTTGAAAACATACAAGAGTGCAGACAAACCACATGAACTCCACGATAAATGCAGAATCAAAAAACGTAGAAAAGTCTTGAATTAATTGAAGTAAAAGGGGCTGCTTTTAACAACATAAGACTATATCGGTACAAAGTTTAACACAAGTGCGGTATAATCCAAGTCTCTTTTATCCCGTTGTATGCTCACTACTTCCCAAAACAAATGCATCTTCACTAAAACCTTATTGTTGTTGCAGAAGTATTTCTAATATTAGGGAAAAGTATTACATATATAACAGCACACAGGAAAACAACAAAAAAGTAGTTTCCACATCACGTCAACATCGTCAAAGTCTCCTTTTTAATTTCAACTGAAGTGTTTTAATATGTTCTTTAACTGTGTCTTGTCTCCTTTCCTTCATCACATCAGGGTATGTTTAAGATCTACCCGCTGCCAGACGACCCCTCGACCCCTCCGCCCCCCCGACAGTTCCGGAAACTTCCTCCCAACGGCAACGAGGAGTGCGTGGTGCGAGTCTACGTCATCCAGGCTCAAGGGCTGCAGCCCAAAGACACCAACGGGAAGGTGAGGAGGGAGTGTCGTGGACCCGAAACCTTAGACACTCAAGACATAACAAGATATAACAAAATAGAAACACTATTTGAGATGTTAACATTTTGAATTGTTTATTTCTTTTAATTTCTCTAATGTACAATGCCTTGTCTTTTTAAGCTGCTGCAACGCAAACATTTCCCTCATTCGGGATCAATAAAGTACTTCTTTGGAATGGAATAATGAGATCAAATGCAACCAAAAGTCAGAGATGTGTTAATGGACAGTTTCTCTCCTTGTGTTTTCAGTGTGACCCCTACGTGAAGATCACTCTGGGCAAAAAGACCATCAACGACCACGAGAACTACATCCCCTGCACGCTGGACCCTGTTTTTGGGAAGTACGTAACATCGCTTTTGTCTGGAAACTGAAACCAAATGTCCAGACTTCACACACAAGTCGAAATCCAGACTTTAAGAAAAGCCATTTGAGTAAAGTCCGTCTTCACTTGGACGATTACCCACAATGTATGCGCCTGAAGATGGAAAAGGAAGGAATAATCCATTTCAATTTATCATTTTTTGTCCCTTTAATCTCTACTAACCTCTTTGAAATCAGGATTCTCAATACCTTTAATGTCTTAAGTCGAATCTCACATTTTTACCGTTTAATCCCCAGTATCCTCCAAGACATGATATACACGTCACTAAAAACAACGTCTGTCCGACTGTTTTTTATTGTTTTTACTTACCAGATGTAATGTTGTTCATCCTGTAAGTGACCAATTTTTTTTGGAAAACTGGCGAACAGCAAAGCGAATTTCTGCTTCATCCTTAAAGAAAAGATCTCCCTGTTATCAAATCTGTCCAAAGATCTGTCGTTATAAGCACGCTTTTGTTCAGAGACCTTCATCAATGCAAGAGTTAGTGTAATGCTGACCGAAAGCTTGATAACTAATACGATTTTTGCACAGGTTAGAGTGTTTCTGATGGTCTTTTTAAAATACATTTGATAGTTTATAGTTTTAGCTACGTAGTTAGGTCCCATTCTGAGTGATTTTTGTCTTATTCTCAAGTTTTAATAGCCTCCAATTCATCAATATCCTTCCTAAAACACAACATAAACCCATGTATTAAAGAATACTCACCATTTACGTATAGACACAGGTGTTTTGGAGCATTCTAATGTATAACAAGGTCATGTTAAAGCTCACACCAGGTGTCAGACTGTTAGTTTAAGGCCCCTCATTTCAGTAAATATTCGCTTTAGTTGTCACGGACCCAAAGGAAAACCACCTGTTCCTCTGCAGCTTTTTAGCTTCTCACTCAGTTTAACTTTGGTGGTTTTAGTTACTTTAAAAACGGAGAAATGGGTGGTTACTCTGGGTTATTCTCCTGTTCATTTAGCACGTTAATGATGGGTGGACACATGACTCATGAGAGTGAAACTAAAGCAGGGTTTTCCACGAGGTGAACAGTGTGATTTACTGCAGGCTTCAGCAGCGTGATGGATTCATCTTTAACGGGTTAGTCACTTTCTGATCACCTTTGAGGTAGTAGGGGTTGCTAGAAACACACACACACTTTCTCACACACACATCCCAGTGTGACTGTAAACTACCTTCTACGACGTTGGACTTGACAGACATTTTTTGGTACCTTTCAGCTGCACAAATCTAAAATAGGAACAGATACCACTTAACATCACATCCCGTCTGATATCCAGGATGTATAAGGTGTGGGATGCCAAGTCTTAATGTTTAAACAGTTTTAATTAAAAACCCTTCATGTTAGTCACTTTCTGATCATCAGTTAGGGTTGCTAGAAACACACACACTCTCACACACACACACACACACACACACACACACACACACACACACACACACACACACACACACACACACACACACACACACACACACACACACACACACATATCAGTGACGATGTGAGATGCCAGCAGGAAGCTCACCTTTCCCTCTCAATCTTTGTATCTTCATCTTTCTGGGGGCCATTTTTCACACTAGTAGTGGTTGCTACACACACACAGACACACACACACACACACACACACACATACACACACACACACACACACACACAGACACACACAGACACATACACACACACACACCAATCTCAATGTGATCACAGCTGGCTCAGACTGTAGACTGCTCTCATTGCGTCCTATTGACGACATTCCTTTAACCAGCGTAGACCTTATTTATGTCCAATCTTTAGTTTCAATTCATTTAAAAGTTATTTTGTGTGGGAATAAATGAATGCTTAGATAAGATAAAGCTTTATTATCCCCCATAGAGGAACATTTAGGTGTTAAAGCAGCAACAGCAAGATGAGCCAATCTCTCGCCCTTTCCGGTTTTAATGTCCTTTTCTCTCTGATAAAAACACCGGAGATTCCTCAGACTGTTGTCTTGTGTTTCCTCCTGTTTCCCTGCAGGATGTTCGAGATCACCTGCTCCCTCCCTCTGGATAAAGACCTGAAAGTGATGCTGTACGACCA